CAGTAAGGTCGGGGGTAGGTGTCTTGGATTGCAGCGAACATTGCTCGCCGTGGCAACTTATCTGGTGACATGCATAACACATGCCCAAACCAACGTAATCTATAGAGGTCAATCACTTGCTCCAGTGGACGACCGCATTTACCAAATAGTTTCTGCTAAGGAAGCCCTACTCACTGCCTTCCTCTGGCGGAGGTAATTTCTCACCAGAGAGAGAGAGAGGACAAAAAGCCAACATCCGGGGCTATAATCGGGTTGGTGGACCACTGGTAATTCACCTAGGGGAGTTGGCCAAAAACCCTGAGGCGTACGAACCACACAACTTCCTGGTTGTGGCAGTGGCCACCGGCTCTATTGGGCATCGAGATGTATTGGGCACCTTGGACGTTTGACTCTGTGCAAAAGGCGCATGGTCTGATGAACTGGACACTGGTCCCCAATGGACTGCGGTTTACACACTGCCTCGCTGCCTTGCGGGTCAGGCTTTGGTTAGCCGAAGGCTACGGTTGTGAATCCCCCAAGAAAATTCGCCTGCCTTGGGCTGGACAACCTGGCAATATTCCGCCCATATGCGAATCATTGAAAGTTCTTTGTATACAGATTATTGTACCGGGATTGGTGTGGCACAGTCTGAAAACCGTAGGCTTGCTTCACTTCGTTTCGGTTCTCATCACTGACAACGCATGGAGTTACATCAATGTTTATTGCTATTTAGTTTACGCACCGGGGCACAAAAGGTGAGCCAAACTGCGTGAAAAATTTTCTTCGTTCATCGGAAATTCAAACTTTATTGTAAACAATCTTAACCGCTAAAGTTTTTTTCCCTACGCCCAAAATAAAAAGTCCAGTCTTTTGTATATGGGGACAACCCAGCTTCTGGCTTCGTTTATGAGATGAATACCGCACAATGGTGGTTGTTATAAAAAAGATCGAGAAGCTTGACATTCAGCTGCATGATGAATTGGCCACTCAGCATTCACACGCTTCATTGCTTTCGACAAAACCCCCATCATTGTTTGAAAATATTTATGAGCAATTGCGTGCCATCAAGCTGTAGACTCAGCACGAAAGAAGTAATATCCTTCGTCGTAGGTAAGTCACGAAAACCTATCAACTATCCGAAAGGACATCAAATTACCTCGCCTCCATCTGAGTTTACAGCACCAAGTCTGCCAAGATGGGAGTGCAGATGAACAGTAGGCTATAGTAGCATCACTGTTATTAGAGAGCGCTGAAATTGGCATCACTTGTATCCCGGAACAACCTCCAGAAACTTGCTACTTCGATTACTGTATATTTCTGTGCATGAGAAAACATATTATTCATTTAGTGTACCGCTGGAGTTATTCCGTACATCAAATAAATTGAAATTACTGGTTTGATACACCCTAAATCAAATTTATTAAGCACTAAAAAATCACAATAGGTTATCTCAAAACTGATATTCCAAATGAGAACACAAGGATTAGACAATAAATTACGATGATGACCAGAGAAAACTTGAATTTTAATAACGTGGATCACTTTGGGAAACTTATTAGACTGACTTGAAGAATCAACGCGACGGGGCATGCTGGAACGCTTTGGAGTTTCGCCCGGTATCTTACGCTTTGCATTGACATTCGCAGTAGGCTTGGTGGCTAACGCGACGAACCGTTTCAGAGGAGGATCGCTGGATTTTGGCTCCAACACTCTCGTGTTTTTTCGGGAAACATGTTTGTTGGCTGATCTGTTTGGACCTTTTACACCAAAACCTTTGAGCGATGGACGTGCCAGCTCATTTGCTTTAGGCTTCCAAATAGAAAACCCTGTACAAATCAGAATAAAAGACCAAGAATAAACCAAAGGTATAAGACTTTTCCGAAGTGGATAAAAAATATTTCTTTACGCCGGTTGCTCGATAACAGATGATGGGCAATACCTTTCTGCATGATATCAGCTGAAACCTCAGACTTTTGAACTTCAAAGAGATAACCGTAACATCTTTTGCCTAAGTTTACAAAACACCGATAAGCAACAGGCTGGATTTAAATAAGCGTCACAGTACCATCAATATTACAATGTCAAAATCCTGAAAACGTTTTGCCTAGAACTGAAAACAGTCGTATCACATAGCACGTCAATGTACAGTGAAATTCAGAAAAGGTAAACCACATGGGCGCGAAGACCTGATTTATGCAATAATGAACCACCTGAGATAACGTCGTGTGTGAGACTGAGTTGAACGAAAGTGTTTGCCCAAGACAAAACCTCGGTGATGGTAGAATTCACATACCAGTAACAAAGGTAAATCGCTTGACAGCCACCGTACCCAATCATATAATTGAGTAACCGAAGATATGAAATATACGTAAGATAAACGCAAGACGGAAACAAACCCCAATTCTGGAGGGGAACCAAGTTACTCTAGGTAACATTTCATGTGCCTAATGAACTTTCGGATGGGAACTAGATATGAAAGAAAATTTGCAGTCAGTTTTCGAACGCATCATCCCACGCATCCCACGTGGAAGCCTACTATGAATCGGTGGACTGTCATAATCCGATCTAAATAAAAGGTTGAGATCGCTACTACTGGTAGAAGCTGTTTTATCTCCTGAAATTTCGCGATGTACCACTGTTGACATCCAGTTTCTAGGCGGTTTCAGCCTTCGATCTCAGTAGGGAAAATTTTTTTGAATTCGAAATTGGAAGTATCGTTTCACTTGATACCTATCCATTATTGAGAGACTGCACTTTGACATGGTGTGCTGGTTTGTGAACCTCTGTGACCTGGAGACCTTCACAGGATGGTCTTTATTAAACCAAAAGATTTTATCCTGCCTAAGAAGTTGGCGGTCATAGCTCAAACAAAGTTTATTCTCCTGTTTCCAGTAGTATAACCCGATGAATTGCGCTAGCTCCGTCCTTGAGATGCTTGCCGCGAATATTGGGAGACAATCAAGCCCATTCAGTAAACCACAATGAAGTAGATGTTGTACAAAGCGTCAAAGTTGAAGCATCACTTTGCTTGGATTCTCGTTAACAACAATCTGCGTATATCCCCGAGGCTCCGTTGGGATCTGAAAGGGGAGTAACTCCAAATAGTGTTTAGGTTCACATGGCGGTGCCTTTGAAATTGGCCGCGCGGTCCGTTACATCGTAGGACTCGGAACTATACAATCACTCTTCGCTGGATTTATCTGGGATACACGTCCTTCGTTGCCATAGGAACGTTGTGTGATTATGGTAATCTTAAATTCCGTGAAATACTCTACCGTTTTCATGAAGCAACTTCGAACTTCTGGCCACCGGATTTTACCTTCTTTTGGCAAATCTGTTCGTAACAGGGAGAGAAGAACTCACGGAAAACATTTCCCAGAAAACAC